GCGTCACTGCGAGGACGTAAAAGAATGTGTTACATTTTGCAGTGTAATTTACGACAAGTGTCGTTGATATACACTTTAAGTTTACTTTAAGACAAAATCAGTCTATCCAGTTCTAAACCTTATGAGCGTTCCGAGATAAATTACAAAGATCGTCAAGAAACAATTTTTAGAAATCCTAATAAAATGCAAAATGCCTCACAACATGAGAAGAGACAGACGTTTGTAGACACAAAACCACGTATATCACCAAGTTAGATTGGAAGTTTGTGTGGACGTCAAAACAGACAACTAAAACAGATTAGGATTTCGATGTTTTTATGTTTTATTCAAATATATATATTGAGACAGACGTTTGTAGACACAAAACCACGTATATCACCAAGTTAGATTGGAAGTTTGTGTGGACGTCAAAACAGACAGCTAAAACAGATTAAGATTTCGATATTTATATGTTTTATTCAAATAAAAATATTGTTTGAAGGCCATGCGTTTATCAGTATTATAGTAAACATGTAGCGGCGAGTCCTCACAGTGAAGTCACATCTTTCCTTCGACCACGCGAAATTGACCGGACACTTTTTGGCTCTCAGAGACAACTTTCGAGAACGAAAAAAAAAGCTGAATTAAAGAAATAATTACACCATGATAACCAGAAACCCATGAATTTTAATATTTCATAATAAAATACAGGGTGAAAATTTGGTTTCATGAGCACTTTTAACTAAAAAAAGCAGCATGTTTTATTCCTCATTTAACTCAGTTGTCGTGTCATTCCCTAGAGCATCATTTCTTTTTTTAGCGATTCTATATTAAAAGATTCTACATATGAATATGGATACAACTCAAACAAGGAATATTATTCCCAAGAGAATGACACTTGGTCTGAAATGGCAAATTATTACTCCCAAGGTAAAAAGGTCAATTCAGACCATTCCCCTCTAACTGAATAACAACAAAAAAATAAAATAAAATAAAATAAAATAATAAAAAAATAATAATAATAACAAATAGGTATAATATAGAATTTTGTTGTGCATTTCGATTCTAAAGCCCCCTACATTGATAAAAATAACTGTTTTAGTATATACCAAGAAKTTWTYTCAAAAACATCAGTCCAAARTCTTGAGTRRAATAATTGTACCTGTTTTGGTTAAAACGTAATTGGTTCCTATTTCTTAATTTGTTTTTTTTATTTTTTTATACGACAAGGTTTTTGGAATAAGGTGTACATAGTGTTGTAAAAAATCTTATTCTCAAAATAACAAACAGGTGCGCCTGAAAAGGCCTAGATTTGAAACATTTCCTTACCGTTGTCTAGAGTTTCGTTGAACAAAAAGTATCGCATACTAAATCCTCGACCATGATTTTTATTCGTAAATGATGAATAATATTCTATCTTCTCAAGACTTTCCTCAAAGAGTTTCGAAACTTTCGTCATATATTGGATATTGGAATAAATGAGYTGCTCGCCACTCTTGTCAGTAATAGTAAGATTGGTGTTTCTGTAGGAAAAAAACAAATAAAACATGAGGAAATGAAGTGCTCTGAAGCATAATCACAACTATCTATCCGGGCTATACCCTATGATTATAATTCATTAAGAATTAGATAAACCAATCAATAGGTGCAAGTCTGACCAAGGCAGTTAAACCAGTGATGAAATAATGTTTTCTAACTTGCAATGCAAAAGAGAGAAACATGAGGGGACGTCGATAAAGAATGTACAATAACTTTTAGAATATACAGATTTAGTAAAAATACACAGGTGATTATTGAAAATCTCGCGCGCTGATTGGACGAGAAACTCACACTCACACGATAATCACCTCCAGCGATAATCCAAAACGGCGCCCAGCCGCTTCGTTGCTTTTACCGGAGAGGAATTAGAAATAATGAAAGAAAATGCTGTCCCCAAAAGGACTAAAGATTTGCACTAACTTTGTTAAAAGGTAAAAAAGGACTTAAAACAATCCAATAAGCTCAAACAAACTTTTTTTATTCTCAAAGTTGGTGTAACAAAGGCATTTTTATTTGAAACTATATTTGTTTTCATTTTTCAAGCAAATTTTTCCTATTTTTAAATGTGTCTTTTATCTTCTCTTTTTTTCCTTATTTGAAAGAATCACTTGTGTATTTATACTAAAACAATTATTTGCCTCAGCCTCAGTGAATAGCTTCTTCAGTTTTTTTAATATATTAACAGATAAACCTCTTACCCTCCATCATAGCGGTAAAAGTGTRTTTCTTCAAATTCAACAACGGCAAACGCATTGGGAAGCTTGAATGTCCAATTGAGGTGAGCCTGCTTCATGCTGCGAGGGTACCCAGGACTTGAAATAGCGCCAACAGGCTTTTTAATGTCCATGGAAACAACTGTGAGGGAAAATATCGTAGACAATTGCTTCAAAATCATTTTACATTTGGTAATGAACTCGCTTTTTTTTCTGCCTATGCATAGATAATTGGCAAGAAAATAAAACACGATTCATCTTTCAAATGCACGATGTCACATGATGCCCATGACGAAGCCAAACGTAGACCTTAAATACATTTTACTGTGAAAAATGAAAGAAACGTTTCACAATAACAATCCTGAACAAATCTTAGATTTTCAAATTTGTGCATAATTCGCGTAGCATATTTCTAAACCGTCTTAAATCCACAATTAAGCGTGAACTTACAATGTATTTATTTGCACCATATAGTCTTAAGAATATTTTTACAATATAAAAAATACTTCAATATTCAAAAGTTTCAAAAAAAAAAAAAAAAAAAAAAAAAGAAAAAGAAAAAAAAGGACAGTTCTATAGGAGAGTGTAATATGAGCGCTGCTTATTTCAATCGATCCACCTTAGCTACTATCTTACCTATCTATCCAWAGCATTTAAATCCAATAGCAAATATTTGGAAAGAGGAAATAATAAGAGAGAACTGAAAAATTGGAAAGAAACTGATGAAAATCAAGCAATTGAAAAATTACCTGGCGGATGTCCGCATACCACTGCAGCATGGTAGTCATGGTATCTGCACCAAGAGGATGTCTTTCCCCATCCTGCGTGCTTACAGTCTGCTAGACTGCTCTCTCTTCCTGAACACTGTAATCGTGTCATCCATGAACTTTTGTACCCACTTGCAAACTGGTAGGCGTTAGAAAAACTATAACTTGCAGGAGGTAGACCCAGTGATCGACACACCACATTAGCATCGTTCATGTCCCAATACTCATTGCATACGGTACCCCATCTTCCGTTGTAGTAGACTTCTACGCGTCCCTCGTTCGGTGCTTCTCCGCCACCAAGGCGTACTCTCACTGATTAAAGTAAATAATATTACATGATCAAGTACTGGAAATCACTTATACAGCTTTCAATTCATTACTGAATGGTGTATCAAAATATATCTACCTATCTAGTGTATGGCTTAAAGTGCTACTCTGACGAAAATCGCTCAAACTTGGATTCAGCTGAAACTTCCTAATCAATCAATCAATCAATCAAATCTTTATTTAGCACCTTATTTACAATTGTTGAACTTAACCTAAAATACAAATATGATATTTTCTTTGGCTATCAAAATATATATACCGATCAATTGTATGGCCAACAAGGCGTACTCTCACTGATTAAAGTAAATAATATTACATGATCGAGTACTTAATTCATTACTGAATGGATAACAAAATATATGTAGCTATCTATTGTACCGCTTAATAAAGGCTAACAGGGCATCAATTGAAATATTAGTCATCGTACTTTGGTGAGAACATAAATCAAAACGAAAAGAAAGCAAGACAATTCTTTAACACGAATGTACACCTACATTTGTCTGCTGTCTTTACTAGTACAGAACAGACACCCCAAGAAAGAGGCGACAACTTCGTTCGAATACCAAGTGTTCAGTAGTCAATCACATCTGCTGTAGAACATACATATAGCAGAAAATATTATAGTGCAACTTACGTTCGTTTGTCTTTACTAGTGCGGGACAGGCTCGTTCGATGTTGTTCGACCCATAGAAAAAGGCAACAACTTCTATTGAATACAATGCGTTGAAAGAAAGATAGTCTATCACAGCCGATGTCCAGTTGGTTACCAGGGTAAGATTATTGATGCCCTTTGCAGTAGAGTTGTAAAACAACAAATACGTAGGGTCACCAGAAACGTTGTTGTGTGGATCGCTTGTCAGAGATATCCAAGAAATGTTGATTCTTCCAGATTCAACGTCTGTGACCGTCAAGTTGAATTTTTTAGAACAGGGAGCTGAAAAGAGATATTTAACGGACATGGCCTTGAGATGACGAATGCAATAGCGTATTTCTCGTGGAATTGCATGTTTTTGAGCTATGAATTATTAACGGGGGAAAAATTATCAGAAAACAGCGTTTAATTCATATTGCATATGATTTTAAATTTGTTTTTTTCTTTTCCATTACAGCGATAACTGTTGCATTGCGACCGGTCGTTTCAAAACCTTGATTTGAATTTGGTCTTTTCGGAAACGTTAATTGTCTTTGATTTAAGCAAAGTAGCATACGAACACGCTAGCTCAGATTCAGCCATCAACGCATGTTTCCTTTTTTTCGAAAATCTAAAATGGCTCGAGAATATTCCAAGGAGTTGCTATGTACGGACAGTAGTTTTTAATTAAGGTATCAGGGTACCCCTATCGACCAGTGCACATTCAACTCTTAATAGCACAAAACTTTTTAATTAAAACCTCAACAAAGTATACATTTTCTGAAAGCTGAATAAATGTAGAAACTATTCCTTTTTTTCCTTTTTGTAAAACAAAATCATCCTTTTGAGTTAGAGCAAATTATTTAAATTATAGTAAAACTGCTTGAG